CTGAGTTAAGACTTGCATTTATATTTGTGAACTTTTAGTATTTAGTATTTTCCTTTACATGCTTTAACAAACAGATTCGAAATGATAATAAGTTTATCCTCACAACACTCTCTCACGTATATACACTCGCATTTCACTCAGTACGACTCTTTTGTCAATGATCACACTGCCTTCTACCACTTATTCTCTACTTAAGGTTCTTACAATAATCAAACAATCCACCATAAAGATTCACTTTTAAGATTAATAATGACAATACTAAAAAAAAAGTAGTAGTTATGAAAGAAAAGTAGCAAAGAACAATTTGACTACCATCAAACAAACAAGACAATACAAAATTAAAGAAGACACTTAAAATAAGAATTTTAGCAAACAGTCGATATGTGTTGAATATAAAGATTGATAACTCTATATTTTTTTTTTAACTTTGTTCTCTTTTTTTTATATAATTGAAATTCAAAATCAAAATTAAAAAAGCATCAAGTATTTTTTTTTTACATTCAATAATGAACAATGCACGATGAACAATAAAGATGAACAATGCGTGAACAATAAAAATGAATAATGCGAAGTGTGTGAACAAGTGACACTGAAAAAATCAATGAAAAGTGTACGCACCAAAACCTTGCTTTAAATACCAAATTATATGATTTCAAATAGAATTCATGCAAAAGATTTAGGGTTTGAAATCAATTAAGAACAAAAATTTAAAATTGAAAACAAAATAAATAAAAAATCTGAATAAAGGAAGACACCATAAACAAAGTTTAAAAAAACCTAAGAATTATCGTCATAAGTATTGGTGAATTTTTTATAAAATTCAAGATGCAAGAAAAAGATTATAGGAGAGAGATATTCTCATTTTAATAAAAATTATTTGTTGTATCTTTTATGAATTCAACAATCATAAATACAAATGTAAGATTTTATTGGGTTTGACTTTGTTTGTAATTAATTAAAAGGAAAAGAAAATAAAAAAATTATAAGTAAAGCTAATTTGTCTCAAATGGTAAATTGCTCAAAATTTAAACTCATAGTTTTTTGTTTAATAACTCTAGGGATGGCAAAATGGGTCAGTCGCGCCCCGTTTTGGCACGCCTCGCCTTTGACCCACCAAAAGCGGGACGGGATCGGGCTAGCTCGCTATAGTTATGGCGGATCGGTCCGTCATATTTCTTTTTTATTATTTTAAAATCAAATCTTTTAATAAATTTAATAATAAAATTATCATTGTCAACAATTCAATATATATATATATATATATATATATATATATATATATTTCAAGTTAATAATATAAATTGATATATTATTTTAATAAATTATATTTTAGAACAATTAAATTAAGATAAAATTTATATAATAATAAATACATGTATGTAAAAGTAAAAAATTATTAAATATTTCTTTTTTATATTGAAAAGTTTAAACATTTATATGAAAATTACATTATATTTATTTATTTGATAAAACTTCACATTGTGAATTCAAAACAATCAATGTTCAAGATCATTAGACGCAATATTTGAAAATCTCTCCAGTTTTTCATCTTTGTCATTTTTTCCTCATCTTCAACAACACACAAAATTGAAGAAAGAAACCTTAAAAAAGTAACAAATATAAAAGAGAGTAAAAAAGTATGAGATATATATGATTTTTACCTTATGAAGAAGGATAAATAAGAAGGAGATGATGAGTAAGAGGAGAGGAGAGAAAGAGGGGTTTGTGCTTGAGAAATGAAAGTGTTTCTGTAATGTGAGTTTAAGTAATTATAATTTTTTTTGAATTATCTTAGTAGTGAGATACTGAGACTTTGAATTCTCATAGATTGCCTTCCTGACTCTTTGTATTATATCACAATAAAAAAAATTATTAGTAAAGCGGACTGACGAGCTTAACGGGGCTAACGGGTTGGCCCGACAAGTTGGCGGGTTTAGCAGGACGACCCAAAACAAGCTGACGGGCTGAAAGTACTAACCCGGTCCGCCATATTATGGCAGGCTGGCGGGTCAGCCCGTCGGACCTGACCCATTTTGTCATCCCTAAATAACTTTCAAAGCCTACTATATATATAACCATAACAAAACTTAGCTTCCTCAATGTCTTGGTCCTTAAACAAGAAGGAGATGATGAGTAACAGGAGAGGAGATGAGAGAAAGAGGGGTTTATGCTTGAGAAATGAAAGTGTTTCCTGTAATGTGAGTTTAAGTAATTATAAATTTTTTTGAATTCTCTTAGTAGTGAGATACTAAGACTTTATGAATTCTCGTTATGAGACAATGAGACTTTTAGAATTCTCTTTTCATAAATCTTTATATTATAGATTGTCTTTCTGACTTTTTGTATTATATCACAATAATAAAAAATTATTAGTAAAGCAGGCCGACGAGTTGACTCAACGAGTTGGCAGACTTAGCGGGGCAGGTCAAAACAGACTGACAGGCTGAAAGTACTAACCCGTTCCGTCATATTATGACAAGCTGACGAGTTTTGTCATCCCTAAAGAACTCTCCAAGCCTATTGTACATGTAACCATAAAAAAAAATTAGCTTCTTGAATGTCTTGGTCCTTTGAGTGTTAAATCTCTCATAAAAGAGTCACATTATGTTGTAATGCTTATTGGACATTTCTAACCCTCCCTCTAGTCATTGGTCAAACTTAGTCTTCGATTAAATTTTTTTATGGACTTTGACTTTTATGTTTGCATAAGATATTTTCTATATTAATTAAATACATCATTAAAAACAAAGCTAATCGACAAAAATAAAATATCTAACTTTTAATAAAAGGGTGAGTCAAACTCTATGGGTGGAGAAAAATGACTCTCAGATCGATTAATTTAATCCATCTAACTAAGAATTGAATTATAAACAAATTTGTTACTTATAAATAACCAAATTTTAATTAATTGGATATTTTTTTATATTAATTAAGTGGCTTATTAAAAATTTTAATTAATTGGATATCTTTTTATATTAATTAAGTGCCTTATTAAAAAAATTAATTAGAGGATAAAGTTTATTCATACAAAGTCAAATACCTACCTTTTAATAAAAGGGATAAGTCAAATTTTATCAATGAAAAAAAATGTGATTGTCAGTGTTTTAAAAATCGATCCGTTCGATCGGTTTAACCGGTCTAATTGAAAGTTAGATTAAAAACTATTTTGTTACTTCTAAATAATTAAATTTTAATTAAATTAAAATAAAATTAAAATAATGTAGACAAAATTGAGAAAATCGATTAAATTTTTGTGTCAAACCAATTTTGGTAAAAAAAATTAGAATTAAATTTTTATTTTTTATTAGTTATGTCAACTTTAAGTAATATTTATTTTATTATATTTTTATCTTATTTTAATAATTATTTATCTTACATATTCTAATATATTATATATTTATAATATTTATTGTAATAAAAATATTATTATTAATGAATTTATTATATAATTATTAATTATAAAAATATTATTTTATTAAATTTAACTTTTAAACAATAGTTAAGTGGCAGTTGAATTTTAAATTGTAACAATTTTTTTTTCTTATCTTAAACGTGACTAAAAGAAAATATTTTAAAGAATATATTAAAAGTATTAATTTTTTTTAATGAAGACTCAAATTAATTTTTATAAACAGAGAAGAAGTAGTAAAAGTTTTTACCATTAAAAATGATAATTAAATATACAAGAATCATATATTCTTTTATTAATGAATCTATTTATATATGTTTTTGAATAAAAAGTAATGTTTTATTTGTTTTTCTCTTAGTTGATTCGTACAGTTTACTTAACACATTTTTATTATAAAACATATAATTCAAATGTGAACACAAAACAAGCAATTAAAGTTTTGAAATTGGTGCATAAAATAATTTATATTTAAAAGAAAATGTGATTTTATATGTGTTCAATATTTTTTTACCAGAGTTAGTAATTATCTATGATGATCATACAGATATTTAGAAGTTAAAAGTAGTTTAAATTGAGTCCATTTGAATCTATTTTTTTATCAACCCAATTTAATTACAATCGGTTAGATTTTAATGGAGTTATTTTGTAAAAGTAATTATCAAGAACAAATACCTAAAAAGTATTTCAAATACTTTTTAATAATTAAGATAACAATAATATATATAATTTTATTTTGATAATAAAATTATTAATCAATTTTGTTATCATATGTAGTCGAATTCAATAAATTTAAAATTATTTAAATTCACTATTAATATATATATATATATATATAAATATCATTTAATTGGATTGAGTTAGCAAATTTCATAAAAGATTTAACCGAATTACCCTGATTTTGAAAAAGAAAAAGAAAACATAATATTTACAATACTTAAATATAAATATATTATTTTAAACATGTTTTTTTACGGATACCTTGAATTTAATAATTAAATGATTATTATGAAGTTGTTTATTATTAAAACAGATTATTTAAAAAAAATATTCAATAAATGGTATGTTTTGATATATGCTTACCTTCTTACAAGTAATTTTTCACAAATATAATCCTAAACTTAACAATAAAATGATTATCATAAAAAATATTTTTATTATAACATAATAGTATATTTTTAGTATTTATTAATTCTTAATTATCAATTTTGATATACTTATTTATTTTTTATGATTCAATTCTTTAAATTTAAAATGTCTGTGGTTTTAGTAACCATCCTACTTTTTTAATATTTTAATTATTCATATAGTATTTAAATTAAAATTGAACTAAAACTATATATTTTTTAAAATATACCAAATTAAAATTCCTAAAATAAAAAATATAGAGCTAGAATTACAATTTTAGCCTATGTTTTATATTTTAAAATTAAGAAATTATAAATTTATAGGTCTAACTTGCGAAATACTCCAGATTTTCCCTTTATAAAGCGGTTTCTTTCCTCCGTGTCTTCTTTATTCTCTTGTTGGTAAAGAAAGAGGAAAAGAGAGAGAAGATCAAAGAGAGGAAGAATCGAAGAAGAAGAAGAAGAAAATGGAGGACGCATCTGCATCGAAGTACATCCCACACCAAATCGGAGGGGTCCAAAACGATGTGCTTCGGTTCGGACTCGATGGAGTCAAGAGCGACATTGTTGGTTCTCACCCTCTCCAATCCTCTCTTCAATCCGTAATCTCTCTCAACCCTAACTATCTCTCTTCACTGCAATTTCTCCTTTTAATCCTTCTGCGTTTTCCTCACCCACTCTTTAGAACCGCTTCATCCAATTCCACCTGCTACCTACCCTCCTTTTTAATTAGGGTTTTTTTTTTTGGAAAAAAAAGTTTAGCTGAAAATAGTCTGGATTTTTATCGATTAGAACAGGTTCGCATGTTTGGTTTGTTGTTACGCTATTAAGTGTTCGTTTTTATTGTGTTTGTGATTTTCAGACAAGGAGGATGGAAGAAGCGATGAAGAGGCAATGTAAAGTTAACTTGTATGGAACTGCTTTTCCACTGAAGGAGGAGCTTGACAGACAAATATTGTCTAGGTACGAGCATTTGGATTCGGTGAATCTGTTGTAGATTGTAGACATTTAAGTGATAATTTGACACGAGGCCCTGTTTGTGTCAGTGGTTGCTAGTTAATGTGTGCTTGATTTTCAGGCACAGATCATTTACATCCCCCAGGCATGGGGCAATGAGTTTGTATTGTACTGTAAAATCTGTTGTAGATTGTAGTATAGTTTTTTGGGATGTTTCAAAAGTTTAGACATTACAGTGATAATTTGACAGGAGGCCGTGTTTGTGTCAGTTTGGTTGCTAGTTAATGTGTGCTTGATTCTCAGTTTGTATTGTACCGTAAAATTTGCGTCTTTATGAATTTAAAAACAACTACAAATATGTGAATGATATTTTGATTAGTGATTAATTTACCTTACATTACCATGTTGATAAGCTCATATGGTTTGGGGCAGAACCTGAAAGCTGTTTTTATACGTGCAAAATGCATTTGAATTTGATGAAATGCCACTGTTCCTTGTAGGTTCCAGCGGCCTCCTGCACAAATTCCATCTTCCATGCTGGGTTTGGAGACTTTTACAGGAAGCATTGATCACTTCGGTTTTGAGGATTGTCTGAATGGTAATGTGATTTGCCTTTTTTTTTTCGGTGTTTGCTACCCTACTTTGAAACATTAAATTTCTACTTAATTAGTGGGTCTTGCATGATATATAGAAATTATGGTTCATTTACACAAAATCTTACAATTGTTACTGTTAAGTGTTGTGGTTGTTATGCTTCATTTTCTAAAATAAAATGAAATATTATCACTTCATTAACACTTGACTTTAACTCCACAAAAGGGTAGAACTGGATTTTGTCTATGTTTTTAATTGTTTCTCTGATAAAAAAAAACTGTTAAGACATCATGGACCTTTTCTTTTATATATAAGAATTGGGTAGAACTTATCCTCCAAACCTTGAAACAATGTTATGAACTGTTTTGGAACTATGTTATGTTTGTAAGAATAACTGATGATAATATTTTTGGGTGTTGTATGCAATTAAATGCTTTTTCGTTATGATAATGGATACATGCCATTGTATTCCTTTTGTTTTTGAGATGATTGTAATGATTTCTGATACTTACATTGTTTGGGGACCTAAAGAGAAGTCATATTAAAATCTTCAAAGCTGATTCAGACATATTGAGAATCTGCACTGAAAGGTTTTGAACTAAGTGCTGCGTGTTTAAAAGAATTATTCAGACTTAAATCAGACTTTGAGCCCTCGTGCACGGATCAAGGATGTTAAATATACTTAATTACTCAGTTCTGTTGAAATCTACCAATAATGAGTTTTAATATTTAATGAGCAGTACAATTTAAATGCAATACCGGAAGTCTGGATAATAGATGCATGGTTTGTATCCACTAGTGATAATATTTAAAGACGCGTTATTTTCAATCACCATAGAAGATAGCCTCCTCAAAATCATGTGTTTTTTTTGTTAAATCTTTCTTCTACTAAATTGATGCTATGATTGTGAATTTGGTATCGATGATAATTAAGGAATGAAATCATAGCTGTTATTCATTCTTTTGGTTCATTGGGATATTATGATGCATTGTTGTTGTATTTCTCTCTCTCTCTCTCATTGTCATTGTTTTATTTGCAGACCCCCGTGACTCAGAGACTTTCAGGCCATCCGACATGCATCATGGGATGGAAGTTCGCCTTGGTCTATCTAAGGGACCAGTGTACCCAAGTATTATATAAATTGAATTTGACTTTTATTCTAGTACCAAAAAACAGTCTTTTGTGATCAAAGTTTATTGTTATTCACTAAAATGAAAGTGCCCAAGGAACCAGCATATTTAATCGTGGACTTGTGTTTTCCTTTGCGTCGGATGCTAGAAATGTTATAATAGAAATGTTATGGGGGCGTTTGAGTTCTTGTGTCGGATTATAATTCCCTTTTACTTGATACGAAGGGAGTCAATTTAGTATGCATGCAATTAAAGAGAAAGATGGTTCAAAATAATTTTATATTCTTGCATAATTAAGAAATATATTATTGTGTTAAAAATTTTGGTTTGTATTTTTCTTTTTGTGTTGAAAGACCATCTTCAATTGAGTACTATATTCAGGAAAGAGAAACATTATTGATGAAGGAATATTTTTTTTAACCCAACAAATTATTCTAAATTTATTAAATAAGCATTTCTTTTCTTTTCTTTTTAAACCTGAGTTATGTTTAACTTTAAATTAATGTAAGTTTAATATTTTTTTACGGCTTCATAACATTGATACGAAATATTTATCAATTCTTTTTATAATTAGTTTTGTTGAAATTCTGTAATCTCTTTCGTTTTATGACTGAATCAATATTTTGTTTGATAGATCCGAATTGAGTTTTGCTTGAACCAAACTTGAGGTTAAATTTTGTTTCACCTTTTAAATTTTCTATATTTTTGTATACCCTTCAGTGATACTTTTGAACCAACAAATCTTCAATACGAGACATTTAATAATTTTAATAAATTTAATTTTATTGCTATTAATTAGTTTAATGATGATTAATAAAAGATAAAAACGATAAGACGGGACAAAATAAATAAGATTTCCTCTTCTTCCATCTTTATTAGAAGACAGACAAAATCACAAGAATTAAAAAATGAAATTTATTCTTGTGAACAACCATGGAACCAACTAGTTTTTTAGAATTGCTATTTTCGCAACTAAAATAAGTTTTTCTTAATTGATTCAAACGTATTTAACAAGTTAGCTAATTTAGATTACTTTTTAATAATTCGATTGATTTTAAGTAAAATTACTTCGAAAATTGAAACTTATTATTGATTACTTTTCATTTAATAAAATAATATATTAGTCATATTCTCCAATCTATATATGGGAGACAATAATTCTTGTATTCATTTACAACATTTCTTAGAATAATCATTCTGGTCAAAAAAATAATTAATAAAAAAATTGAAAAAACTATATAAAAAGATAAAAATTTCATACATGAAAAATGATTCCTTAAATTCATGAATTCATAATTACGATTCATACAAATTGACTAATTTTATTTAATTAGTCAATAATATTTTTAACATATTTATGTACATTTTTCAAAAGTAAGGAGTATCTTTACCTCGTGAACAATTTTGTCAAATATTTAAATAAATTTTTTTACCAAAAGACACGGTTTCTTTAAAATTTTATTATTTAATTTACAAAAACCATTTTCAACTTCAAGTTGAAGATAATCAATATAATGTTCGCTGCATGATTTACTTTCACAAAAATATGTATAATAATGTGCACATCTGATAATTTCAATAAATAATGAATTTAAAATGAATGTTGGAAATCTTATTTTAATTACTCAAATACGTGTTCAATAAAGAATAATATAAACTTTTGAGATATTAAAATTAAAATATCTTATTTTATATGACATAAGAGACTAATCTTATTCTTAGAGGCTGTCACCTTTTCAAGTTTTGTAACTATATAATGTAATTTATAATTTTGACACTCCATTTTAATTAATATTTAATATATTTACTTATATATTTATAATTTTATTCTTCTAATTCTTTCTTAATTTTATAATTCTTATATAATTTATGATTTTGTCCCCTTTAAATTTAATAATAATTTAATATATTTAATAATAATTTAATATATTTAAGTATATATTTACAATTTTATCTTTCATCTCCTTATTTTATTTTATATTTATTTATTATTTATTAATAATATATTATTTGTTCGTTAATATATATATATATATATAATCAGTGGATAAATTCACTGGGCTTATGAAAAGAATAGATAGTTTTGAATTTGATTTTACTTGGAGACTTAATTTTCAGTTTCGTGGTCTTCTGAACTTCTCATCTCATTTATTGGAGGCACGCTTCTTGTCCTCTTTCATTCATCCTGCTTGCCACCAACTTTACACTTCTATCAACATCACTCTCTGAAAGACAAAGAGATACATTCGATTCGTACACAGACAAAGAGAGAATGGAGAGAAAGCCTCTCGTTGTGTGCTGCGTTGTTGCCTTCCTGGGACTGTTGGCGGCCGCAACTAGCTTCGGTGCAGAAGCCACCAGGATAAAGGTTTGTGTTTTTAGTTCATTCCTTGCTTTCCTCGAATACCCAACAACCAAAGGATCAATCTTTTGCCTTATTTTTAGTTCAATCTCTATCTGGTCTAATGCTTGTTCTTGCCACTGTTCAGCGTACACTTTAATGGGTTGTTATGAGTCTAGTAAAATCTTCAATTTTTAGCATGTTTAAGCGTTTATGATTAACGTCCCTTTTTCGCAGCCGTTTAATTTCACTGAGACCGCATTTTTTCTTTTCTTTGGTTCCAAGATTTTGCTTTACTTATAGTGTTTAGTATATAGCACATGTTAATTCCTATGTGTTCATATCAACCTTTCCCCTTTACTTGTTGGGTATCATGATTAGTCCTCTATCCATTTCTTTCTACCGATTTTGGAACGGGTAGGGTCTGAAAAAGGACATGAATTTAGATTCATGCAAAGGGGATTTACAATCAATCCTTGGAGGGGAGAGAGAGGAAAGGGATAAATAATGTCATTCGTGTAAACTCTTGTGCTGACAGATTTTGAGTAATATACTAGTCCAGTATTTAAATAATGTATCTTCCCCATTTTTTTTATTTTTTTTTTTCATTGTAAATTTTGTGTGTTTATGTTCACCACAAACAGAAGTTGATATAATGAGCATTGCTGTGTAACATCTGCAGAGTTCTCAAGTTCATTCTGTTACTCTCAATCAGTGCACGTATCCTCGAAGTCCTGCCCTACCTCTTGGTTTAATTGCAGCAATGGCTCTTATGCTATCTCAAATAACCGTAAATGTTGCAACTGGGTGTGTTTGTTGCAGAAAAAATTCTCAAATCCCAGATTCCAATTGGAAGGTGGCACTGATCTGCTTTGTTTTGTCCTGGTAATTTCCGCTCTGAACTTTTTCTTTGTCATATCGTATTCCTGCTTGACTATGCTGGTGCGCCAATCAGATAGTTACTCTTAGGACTTGGGCACAAAAAGAGAGTCCATTGGAGAACCTCTACACACGAGTACCAAACCAAGTAACTCATTCTACTCAGTGTTAGACTCCTAAAATTGTAATCCCCTTTAAGGGTCCATGTCCACATCAGTCTCACTCTATTGACACTTACGTGGTGGTAGTCCTTTTCTCATTGAGACGGCTTCACCAATCTTTCAGTATTAGGTTTGGATCTTAATCCAGCCTAGAGAAAGCCCTTTCTATGACCCAACTCTCAATGAATGCACCAATTGTTAGGACTTAGCACAAGATTAGTCCATTAGGTGGGATAACTTGTTGGCTTAATAAGGACCTTGTCAAGTAGCTCATTCCTAATGTGGTATAACTTAAAAACTGGTGTTAGTAGTAGATTTTCCTGTGCTGCCATTCTTCTGAAGAGGATTTGGCTTTAAACAAAGTAGACATGATTCTACAGGCAGCAAAGATGGATTTGGATATTTCATTTTCTGGGTACTATATTTAAAGTAAATTGTGGAGTACATGCCATTGGTATTTTATATTTTTAAGGAATCTTCCCATTACTTATGCATTATTGCTTATATTCCTTCATGCTTAGACATTTTTTATTTTATTTACAATATACTTAGTTGAGGAGCTGAATAATGCATGTTCTATAAACAAAGATGGATTGAATGAGAAACAATTAACTAACATGATTACACTAGAGATTAAATGTCTTTAAGACTATTATATGAGTTAATTTTGAGGAACATGATCATAACAATTATTCTTTTGAGTATATATGTTTATACTTTTTGGTTGTAGAAACATAATAATATTCATGTTTTTAATTTATTCTTTTGGATAAAATGTAAACTATATATTGATGGTAATTATTTCTCACGTTTCTTTTCTTTCTTTTAAACTGTGTATATTTGTTGGATATTATTTTAGTAAATGTCAAGTTCATTAACGAAAATAACATTCTTACTTGAGATTGTTTTGTGTTTTCTTGAGTTTATAATTTTTTGCTCTGGCATTGTTTATCTGATTATTGAAGAAACGTAAATGAAGCTTGTCCTGTTGTATGAGCACATTGGTTCGTGTGTGTGGAACTGCATTGAGTGTTTGAAACTTTAACTTGTGTCAATGGTAGGCTAAATGATTTCATGTGCTATTTGGAGAAAAATCACATGTTTTTATAATTAAAATATTTGAGTTCATCATTTGATTATTCAAGGCTAGTCATTTATGTGCTCTTCATGCCGACTAGAATTGGAAACCTTGAGTACTTAGACGTGGATTGTAAATTATATTGTGTGGTTGGAATCTCTGTTCAAGCAGGTTCACATTTGTAATTGCTTTTCTCCTGTTGCTTACTGGTGCTGCACTGAATGATCAACGTGGTGAAGAGAGTGTGTACTTTGGCTATTACTACTGCTATGTTGTGAAACCTGGAGTGTTTGCAGGGGGAGCAATTTTATCCCTTGCAAGTGCTGCATTTGGAATTGTGTATTACATTTCCCTAACTCAGAAAAAGAATGGTATCCAATACCCATATCCAAACCAAGGGGTCATAGCCATGGCACAGCCGCAGATCCCATCTCAGACTAGTGAAGAACCAGTATTTGTGCATGAAGACACATACGTCAGACGACAGTTCACATGATTGCTACATTCATGAATGGATGATGCTGCTTTATGAAAACCTTTATTCTAATGTTTGATCTTAGGAAGCAGAGGTTGTTGGGGTTTGTATGTGCATGAGTCACTTTTGTGAGGGAATTGTGCTTTTTGTTTTGTTTGTAATTGGATGTTCCAGAGAACAATACAATTTGGTTTGCTCTCTTCAGCAGACTATGCTTGTTGGAAGTAGGTTTGGATATGATTATTTATAGTGTTACAAGGTATGCAAATACTAAATTATAGACTGAATTATTTATCAGAAAAGCATAGCTAACTATCATGACCTTACAATATTTAATTATGTTCTATTAAAAAAATAGGGGCCCCATCTTATGGAAATTTCAAATACGACAAACATCCTAACAAGGAATATGGTCCAGAATTAACCAATTTTAGACAACCTTTCAATTTGAAATAGAAAAGCAATGCTTTCTTCAACCATATGAATTTCCAAGATTCTTTATCTAAACGGGAATGAGTCAAAAGTCCTTATCTCTAAGTCTTTTAGTGAATTAATTATCAAGAGGGAATGTGAAAAGATGTTTTACTAGAAACAATTTTGTTTTTGCTTCAATTCATATTCTTTGAAAAGTAGATTCAGCCCTAATAAAACAAATACTTGTATATTTCACAGCAACGAAGTTTAATAAGACAAATAAATTTCTGAAATTCCTGAGCAATTCTAATTTATTTGTGAACGAAGACAAGAAAATTAGTTGTAGATAAAGTGAGAATTGATATCTTGCCCATTATTTGCGTCGGAATGTATGTAACAAACACATTGTTTTTCAGTTGGGGATAACATTTTGAGCTTTCGCCTGTATCAGTAGAGTATTTAAGATGTCCTACAGGAGGAGTTAGCTAAAATTTCAGTTTCAATAGAAGTTATTCGTTGGATAACTCCACAACTCAAATTACTTGTTTAAACATGATTTTCTAGAAAACGTAGCCCAATCAGTTTAATTTGTCTCATCATCCCATCACACTGGTGAATTCATCACCTAATATAAGACATCAATTAGAAGAATGATTGTCAGTTAAATAACGGCATTAAACACTATACCAACATTTAAATCAATTCAAAAATCAAGCGTCCCGGTAGCTGTGCTTTAATTTTCACAGGACCAAAATGAAACTAAAATGAGAATACAGGGATTAAAACTGCATCTTACATGAATAGCAGAGTTAAAATTTTGATTTTCTTACATCAATAATTGGACCCACTATCAGCTATAGAGCATAGAAACAGAGTCAACTTGGTATTATTGCATAGAACACCATCAATTTTAAAAACTACTTGTAAGAGAATGGCTTCAGGGATACGCTGGCAGTAGATAAACCAGATTAAACTCTGTCAAATCAAATTTACTCTTCGGCACCAAGGAAGGGTAGTCCCCTAATATCCCAAATTAAAAAAAAAAAAAAAATCAATACCATTTTCAATTTTCGGACAGTTGGACAGTAAGAACAAGAGAAACGCACAAATAATAAAAGGCAAGCAAGAAGGTGCACATATTCCTACAGGTCAGAAGGTGTTCCTTTACTCAAAACTTTATTTGCACAATATACAGTCATGTTAAAACACAATCCAAACAGCTTACCAGCCTCCGTGTCTTGAGAAGTAGTCGTTATCTAGTGATATAGCAAGAGCTACAGTTACTGCTCTCTCTGCAAGGGTCAGTGTGCGACTGACTTCCAGGTCTTCAATCTGCAGAAAGAACATCATATCAATTAGTTAAGATAAGAGAAGAGTGAGTGAGGTTTATAGGGAAAAGGGTGTAGGGGGACTTGACTGCAGCAGCAAGGCCAATCTTGGAGCTGGGATCAGAACTCCCAAATCGAATAACATACTGACCAGCATCAGTCAAAATCTGCACATTTCAGCCAACGTATAATTCAGGTTTCAATTCAAATAGAAGACCTAAAATATCTGGCGAACTGAACATGAAATTCTTCAGTTAAATGACTCCACAATAACAGTTAGAAAAGTTTGGTAAATGCCAAAAACCAACCTCAAAGCCAAAACCTCTCCAATCACGGTCTATTTGAGCAAGCACCTCACCATTAATATCTTTCAATGTGAATGTCCAATTCCATAAGCCAGGATTCTCTACCACAGCAAATTGCTTATTCCTGCAAATTTAATTCTTAGACTCGCATTTCATACAACAGACAGGCTATGCGATTTTAAACTTGAGCTTCTGACCAAAAGTAAATTCAAAGAAAACCAATAAATAGGTCAGAAGCATGTATGAACACATTTTCAAACAAATGTTTATATATAGCATCATTATTGATGAACACATTTTCAAACAAATGTTTATATATAGCATCATTATTGATGAACACAGCGCACACATCAATAAAACTGCAGAATGAATCAAACTTGTATCAAGGACAATCCAAGAAAGTGTAGCCAAAGAGAAAATAATAATAATTGATGGTGCATGAACTAAAATCTAAGACTCTTGTTTTATCTACTAAATAGATGCAACAAATGGTAAATTAAAACAAAAAAGAAGAAGACTAATTTGGGGAAAAAGGGCAAAAACAAATCTAGAATAAAATGCTTTAAGTTTGCCATTGCATAATTAGAAGATGTTAACATTTATTTATTCTAGTATTTCCACTGTTTCAACTCAATTCCTATTGTGGAGTCTACTATAATGAAATTCATTTTTACTGTCCTAAATTTGAAAAGACAGAACAAAAGACCAATTATTTGGAAAATTATTGGGGAAAGATAACGTGCTTCTTGACTTTCATGAAGGTGAAAAATTACAGATAGATAACAGATAATTGTGTTAGTGTAAATTGTGGCACCCAATAATCAAGTAATCTTAGAAGAACTGAAATATAAATGTCATCCTAAATACACAGAAAAAAAAGCATGTCAAATATAATGTAGGTTGCTAAAGGAAAAGAAAAACAAGTCAAAAGTACACAAATTAAATAATAACACAGCCCGCATTACTTCCACTATTGAGTTATACTTCTGGGTTTTTTTTGCAGCAATTTCAAATTGAATCCAATGGTCATATAAATAAAATATTCTCATGTAAAAAGAGATCAAAGGACATTATGATTTTGGCAATTAATTATAACAAATAAAAAACACAGTATCTTAATATTACCCCAGGTACAAATCATAGATTCTCCTCCAGAGATGCCATCGCCTGTGAACTACTCCAACTTCCTGAAGAGAGGACTTGACACAATTAACAACCAAAGTTATGAAAACAACTTAATCATGTAAAACAATAAAAAACATTTGGCATACCTTACCATCAATTTCTGCATAAATTGAGCTTGTTATCCACCAAAAGGGTCTTCGAACCTAACCATGATAGTTGTTCAATTTGTTTCGCTAAGGTAAATAAAAATAAATCTTTCACATATGTCCCTTACCCTAAAGAATTCATTACCCAAGGCATCAGTTATGCGTGCAACAAAAGGTCGCCTTAGACGAAGCAACTGCAACAAGAAAGGTTGAAATGGAATTAGACAAAATTCACAATACATACATGAAAAAGCATAGACAAATCAAACCAAGATACATAGCATAAGTTGCATATGCACCCATTGAGAGTCCACCACTGAATTACACATTTCAGGCATCGAGCAATGCACAAAGTGCTGAAATCTGAACTCCAACTCAACTTTAGAAGTACTCCCATTTTTAGACAAACAAAAAAATTTACTAATAGACACCAAGTTGATCACTCCCATGTAAAAGTCAGCAAATAAGATGAACCTTTCATAATCCAAAACCTAGATTATACAGGTTAAACTGATATTTTCATTCTACATATTGTAAGACATGATTCTAATAATTCATGTTACAATGTAGAGTAGGTTTAATCACAGTCTGTTGTAATAAGAAATTTGGTGTATTGATGTTCAAATAAGGTGTTTTGTTCTCATAAATAGTCCATGGTTGTTAATACACTGATGCTTATTGCTAGTTAAATCTGATTCGATAATGAATATTTGAATGTAAGATATCGGCTGGGAGGTGAGTGTGGCAAATGTCATTTGGACAGATCTATGCAATGCCCATCCCCATTGGAATTTTTTAAATATCAACTGTGTTTTCTGAACCATATAATAAACAATTAGTAAGGTTTTAGGCAATTGATTGATCAACTATGGGGAGATGTGGCAAACAAAAATAATATGCATGTTGATGTTATTATTTTTCTTTATGATGATGTTTAAACTATAACTATCACCCTCTATTTTGGAAGTATTAGTATTTCTAATTTCTTTTGTTCTTGGAAGTTGCAAAAAAACAGTATGCATAGAAATGATACAGAAATGAAAAATATAACTAAATCACTTTTTATCTATAAATGCAGGTATTTAAGTTTGGTTGATTGTAGTATCCACAAAATGGTAACAACAACAATGAAATCCTTATCGCACTAGCTAGGTGAGGTCAGCTACATGGATCACATGATGTCATTGGAATCAGTTATTGGCAATGAGATCCCTTTTACGAAAAAATGATAGTTAAAAATAAAAATATATAGTTACTCTTTTATTTCCATGTGGATGAGACATGAAACATGTTGTAGAATAAAACAACCAAAGGAAGTCAAGCTCAAATGATTGATAGGAATACCTGTCGGGTAATGACGTTGCTCTGTTCACGAATATAACCTACAGGCTGCATCATAGCAACAAATAGCCAAAAAGCTCAAACATCATTGTTACAAGCTATTCAGATGGTATAACTTAAGTAATGAAAATGGGATAATGATTATCACTAACCGACTGAGGGTAGCAGACATCTACAATGGCATATCGATTTTCCTTTAATCCAAACAAACAAATCACAAAATTAGACTTGAAATCAAGAGCAATAGTCAAGATAGTAGCATAAAAGGGACAAAAGTTAAAATTAAAGTTTTAGAAGATGCTAGGAGAGCAATGTCCCACAGCCTCAAAATACAAGTATCCATTACACATAACGTAACATATGAAATGGACTATTTAAGAAGTTACTTAAATATAGCTAAAGGAACCAAGCTTCAGATTCCGAGAATAAAGATGATCACCTGTTCAAAGCCTAATACAAGATTTGCCCACTCGATATCTCTGGTAATCAGCAAATTGGACCTGGCAAGCAGTGGTGCTACCTTGGCCTAATCAAGAGAAGGCAAGTAGAACATGTCGATATTAAAGTTAACAAAAAGTATCAAAAAGTAGGACCATTGTTCGTGATTTTCACACGGGAACAAAATTAGTTAACAAAAATATTTCTAAACTAAACTCCAAAACAATTAAAACCAATTTTCATGCAAAAACACCCTTATTTGTATCTACATGACTGGCGTGGCCATCATGATACAATCCAACTCTAGTCATTGCAAGAAGTACAAGCATGATTGTCAAGACTCAAATACTTAACATAACAATGCAACAATGTTTGATAGGAAATATGATAAAATGTATTAAAAAAAATTGCAAACTAGGTACATGAAATGACCTCTAGGGAAGACCGTGGTTTCAGAAATTCAGAGACAGATTGACTGATAGGGGGTTGCTTCAAAACAGGCCGTCGTTTACCTCTCGTGACGACACCAGATGAAGCAGAAAACCAGCGAGGGTCACCACCATAACCTCCACAGTATTTAACTAATTTCCTCCCTCTGGGGTTTCTCATTTTTCTATCATCAACCCAAAGCTTTACGAGGAACTCCCTCGTTAACCGATGAAGATCCACTTCATTTCCACCGTCAATGGCGCTTCCAAACGGTCGAGCAACGGTCACGGGACTGTGATTGTGTTTGGCAACAACGCCAACGTTTCCGTGAAAATGAACAGAGGACCTTGCAACACTAGATAGCCACTTCCAACCCTCCTTGGACCAATTCTTCATCTTAAGTCCACAATCACCAAAATTGCAGCACCAATATTCAACAACTCAGATCAATGATGTCATACGATCACAATCGCTTAATCGTTGGTATCGTAATCGTCAGATTTCGCTCTCTCAAGTTTTAAGCTTAGGAATTGGGTCTTAGTTATATTGTGTAATTTTGGGATTTTTATCTCTCTTCATTTTTTATAATAATAATAATAATAATAATAATAATAATAATAATAATAATAATAATAATAATAATATAAATACATCATAAGTTGAAGTTACGGCGAGACTTGTAAACAAAACTGTGTTTATACACAAAATTCAAATGTTTAACATTTATTATTATTATTATTATTATTATTATTATTATTATTATTATTATTTTCATTTGTTTTTTTAAGTGTTATTTTTTAAATTTTTTTCTTTTTTTTCTCATTTATATGTCTCATTCTTTAATTAAACATAGTGAATTCAAAATTAATAAAATGAGTCTTTAATTATTATTAAAAAATATAAATATTTAAATGTACTAAAATTTAATATATTATATTTTAAAAATATAATATGATAAAATTAAAATATTACAAATATTATTTTCATGATATAATTATTAAAAAATATATTTATTTAAAATTAGTTTTTTAATAAATGTTTTTTTAAATTATCTAATCTAATTAATTATCATAATTAATTTAATTATAATTAGATTAAATTATTAAATAAAAAATACATTTTACTTATAAATATTTAATATTTTTTTAATTATATAAATAATTATTTATTATTATAAGTGGGGGAAGGATGAAAAAAATAATAGACCTAAAATATAAAAGATATAAAAAGTAAATGAGGAGAAAAAAAACTAAAAAATTTCCTAAGCAGAAAAAAATTAAAAGTGCATATAAACCAGAAAGATATCTGCTTAATAAATAAATTGATAAAAAATTTATTTGAATAAAACTTAAAAACTATTATTTATAAAATTCATCCTTATTTTAACATTTATTTTCATATAAATTGTTCTACATTATATTCCTCCAAACCTTAATTGTTAAACATATTTTTTACATTAGCTTTTACTTATTTTCGTGGGTCTCAAATTAAAATACATAATGCATTTTAAATGAATTGTTACAAATTCTCATATAAATTTAAATATTTTTAATTATTTAACTCCACTTCTTATTTTTTTTATGGTGTATTTTAACTTAAAAATTCTTTTTTATATATAATTATTGTGATAATAAAATTGGTTAAGCACATTTGTAATATATATATATATATATATATATATATATATATATATATATATATATAACGATTTAATAAATTTAGTTCTTTTTGGCCTATTTGCTACATCCAAAAGTTAAAATAGAACGAGATATGTTTGTTTGTTTAAAAAACAATTATATATTAAAATTAAAATAAAAAATTATATTAAAATATTTGTTTCATATTATTGAAATATTGAAATATATTATAATATTATAATTATAATTTTATCATTTATTTAATAAAAATTTTAATTAATAAAAAAATTAAAAATTATTTATATAATTAAATATATATATATATATATATATATATATATATATATATATATATATAATACATGATGGAGTTGATCAGTTTTATTATTTCAAATTAGTTAATTTCGTAAATAATTTCAATAAAAAGTTATTTTTCTAATCACTTTCTCAAATTGCTTAAATTGAAATTTCTATTTTGATAAGCATAAAAGGTAAATTTACTTACAAATGCTTTTTTTATATTTTAATATTATTTTACATTATATTTAAATGTTTTTTTAATTTAATCAACATTTTAATCCCGATTTATCTATCTTAACCACCCTAATGAAATATAATCTAACCAAACATTTGATAATTCCGCGTGAAACATTAATATTTTTCTCATAGTTGATGATGCTTAACCCAAAAGTTGTCTTCTTCAATTCGCATCTTTTTTTAGTTCCATAAAACTTTAATTTTTCTATAAAATGTTAACAACACAGTTATTTATTTTCAACACCTCTTTGTTTATGGTTAATTAAAGTTATTAAAAACTACAAAAAATATAAATTGTACTTCATATTCAATGAAGTTTATTTATGATTTTATAATAATTAATCCTTATCTCTTCCCACTTTTTTAATTACTACTATTAAAGGCATTAATCCAATAATAATAGTTTAGAAAGATAAATTTATCTTACGAGTAATATTAAATTTGTTTGTATACTTTACAAAGAAAGTATTAAATGAAAGAGCAAATACATTTAATAGTTATAGTCAAAGGCATTGTATACCTTTTTTGTTTACTAAATATAAAAAATTAATATAAAAAATTAATATGAAATATTAATATCTTAAATAAAAAAATAGAGTATTAGGAGAACACGGAATTTTAGACATTAAAATTCGTAATAAATAATAAAGGCTTATTAAGAGATGTGAAGTACGGAAACCAAATGTATACGAAGTCCAAAATACAAAGAAAGTGTATGTATAATAGTAGATTATTTTAGTATAGCGGAAAAAAAATACAAGAGATTGAAAGAAAGGGACGATTAAAATTGAAGCTCCAAAAAAATGAAATTTCCCCAAATCTGAATGGCAACATTTGCCCTAACCCATTTCCCTCTATTCGGATCCTCCAGTTACGACGACGGTTCCCGGATCCTGCGCGCATCGGTTGGCCGGGGAAGCGGATGATGGATTGCGACGTTGGATCCATCGTGTGGGTGCGTCGGAGGAACGGGTCGTGGTGGCCGGGTCAAATCCTCGGCCCCGACGACCTCTCCACCTCTCACCTCACCTCGCCCCGATCCGGAACCCCCGTCAAGCTCCTCGGCAGAGAAGACGCCAGCGTGTAAGTTTTCTTATCCGATTCCGAATTCGCGACTGAGTTAGCTACACTGCTAAGTTTTTTTTTTCTTTCTGTGCAATGCATCCATCTTTTGGCATTCTTAACAGTCTCTGTTGATTTCTCTGTCTTTATAGGGATTGGTACAATTTGGAGAAATCCAAGCGTGTTAAGGCATTCCGGTGTGGTGAGTTTGATGATTGTATTGAAAAGGCTGAATCTGCTCAGGGTGGACCGCTGAAGAAGAGAGAGAAGTATGCGCGCCGAGAAGACGCCATTCTTCATGCTCTTGAGCTTGAGAAACAGATTTTTAAGAAGCAAGGGAGATCAGGTGCTACACCTTCAAATACTTTTAAAAAGGGTGTAGTTGCATCGCCACCGGAAACATTTGGAAATGACAATGAAAACCATGCAAATTTGTTTATGTATTGTGAGAATGAGTCTGCTGGAGGTTTCTTTCCTCCAGAGATGGCCAAGGATGGCAATCAGCTGCGCGGGGAAGTGGATTATTCTGAAACAATACCTCGGATGAGAGACTTGCAGGATTTTGGGCTCAGAATTGCCCCTGCAAAAAAGAAGCTTCCTTCTTTTGTTGATCCTAACATTTATCAGAAACGTACGGTTGATGATGGTGCTCGGGCTCTTGCAAGCGGTGGTATTCGCTCCGGAAGTACTCTTCACATGAATGGTAAAATTCTCTTGAAAAGATAAAAAAAAAGGGCTAGACGAGAGGTTGAGTTTGAGCGAGAAATACTCTTTAAAAGAAGCGTAAAAGACACCCCTTTTTTATTGTGAAAGTTAGCCCGATGGTAAATATTTTAACCTGACTATGGTTCTGTTCGCAGGAGCTTCCCGAGCAAAGAGGAGCAGATGTGTATATTTTCCGACCGAGTCCAGTGATTCTCTTGATTACAGAGAGACTCAACCCCGTGTTGAGATGTCACCTTCCCAACGCAGAAGGGAGTTTCCTTATCATGGTTCTATGGTTGGAGAAACTGAATATGCTTTTATGAATGATGTTGGATCTGATTCTTCAGAAACAGCTTGTACTGATTCTGATTCTGATTCTTCTGAGACAGAACCGGAGTTGGGTGAAGAGATGACAATATTTTCAGGTTAAATTTCTGGCATTCTCGTACTATCCTTATCATTATGATCTATTTGCCACACCCTGAAGAAAGAACCACATAGAAAACTGGCATATCCATTTTGCCAGTATCTTTAATTTAGTGTTTTCACTTCTCTTACACTTAACTATGTTCCTTGGCTTTTTGCACTGAACATAGTTGTTAGCTATTCTTGTGGCGAGATTTTATATGGATACTAAATGAATAATCTGTAAGTCATTGTATCTAACTATGTAGTTTTTCTTCCTCTCTATATTCATGGGTCCCATACTTGGTTTACTAATTTGCAACTCCAAAATGACAAACCACATCCTCCAAGATCCCCCTTCCGGCATTCTCATTTCATCTTTTTTAATAAAATTAAATAAAGGTTTGCTGGCCTATTACTTGTTACCAAGATAAAAAATTGTGATCCTATCCCTACTGTAGATTGGCCAATCTGCTGCAAGAATTTTATCATAGGATTCTAAGATCTCCCACTATGTTAAGCAACTCCTGTCCTTACTGCACATGTGAGAACTTTGCACCTAAGAAAGATAGTTCACGATGGATAAAGATGTACTATGTGAACAATCCAAATTGCTTTGTGGGGAGGGATTTAGAAGGAATTGTCATATCATGCATATTTTAGTTTTGACTGGTTTTCTATAATGTAATTTGAGAGTCACTTCCAATTTGTGTGGGATTGACAGCCTCATTCATGAAAAGCACTTAGGTTTCAGTTTTTGTTTGACTTTGTTTTAGCATTCTTTCACATCATCCTTCATGGCTTTACTCAGGATGTTCCTATAACTGCAGAAACTGGTCATGATGCTGAAGAACCTGAAAGCACAAGCAGTGAGGAGCTTGATGTATTAGCAAATTCCAGTGACATGCCTCAGCTTTATCCTCGTGACTTAATAACATGTAATGAATCCATGTCTAAATGGCAACTAAAAGGGAAAAGGAATAATCGGAATCTTGTAAAGAGGCCTATTGGTGCTTCTGATGGAAAATGTATTATGTATGGAGCAGGAGC